CGTAATAAATTTAATAGTAATGATAATACCATTAGTGGTATTAGCCATAGCATTCGCATTAGGAATGTCGTAGTAATTAGGTCGTAGTAATAGCAGTAGCAGTAGCGGCCTTTGCATCATAAATAATAGTAGTAACGGTGTTATTACTACTAACAGCAGTAGTAGCGTTTACGATCATATTAATAATAATAATAGTTATATCAGTAGCTTTCTATTATTATTATTATTATTATTATTATTATTTATAGTATTATTAGTGATTGTAGTAATACTAGTGATGGTTAGAAGTAATAGTATTATCATTCGTAGTATCAGTAGTACTAATATAACTAGTACTAATAATACTGGGTAATAACAGTAATATTCATAGCATTAACAGAAGTAATATTGGTACTGACAATATTAGTAGTAGAAATAGCATTAATGGTCGTATTTGTTGTACTTTCATGCTATAATTATTACTATTGTTATTGTTATTAGTAGTAGTGACAGTGGTAGAATTGATAAGCTGATATGGTAACATTAAACATATTATAATTAGTTTTAGCACTTGTACTAATATTAGTATAAGTACAAGTATTGTCAATAGTAATACTAATAAAATTAACAGTTGGTGTAGTAGTAATAGTGGCGATAATATTATTCGGATTGGTAGTAGAAGCAACAGTAAAAGTAGTTGGAGTAGGAGTTGGAGTAGGAGTAGGAGTAGGAGTTGAAGTTGTAGTAGGAGTTGGAGTAGGAGTTAGAGTTGGAGTTGAAGTTGGAGTAGGAGTTGGATTAGGAGTAGGAGTTGAAGTAGGAGTTGGAGTAGGAGTTGGAATAGGAGTAGTAGTTGGAGTTGGAGTAGGAGTTGGATTAGGAGTTGGAGTAGGAGTTGGAGTAGGAGTTGGAATAGGAGTAGTAGTTGGAGTTGGAGTAGGAGTTGGAGTAGGAGTTGGAGCAGGAGTTGGATTATGAGTTGGAGTATGAGTTGGAGTATGAGTTGGAGTATGAGTTGGAGTAGGAGTAGGAGTAGGAGTTGAAGTTGTAGTAGGAGTTGGAGTAGGAGTTAGAGTTGGAGTTGAAGTTGGAGTAGGAGTTGGATTAGGAGTTGGAGTAGGAGTAGTAGGAGTTGGAGTAGGAGTAGGAGTTGGAGTGTGAGTTGGTGTTGGAGTAGGAGTTTGAGTAGGAGTAGGAGCTGGAGTTGGAGTAGTAGAAGGAGTTGGAGTAGGAGTATGA